ATGCTTTTTTGGAAAAAATCGTAACGTGCGATAAGACTTGGGTCCATCACTTCTGAATAGAAGAGGGGCAGTATGGAATGGCGGAAGACTGTCGAGGGTGCATCGGTGAAACCGAAGACGCGGTTGTCTGCAGGGAAATTGGGCAACTGCGGGATATACCTCCTGCAAAAAAACTAAATATTTTTAAAAATCAATTATAATTTATATTTTTCTTTTTTTCCCTACATAGTCCCCCATCTTATCTATACACTTCCTCCAACGTTCTGGTAATTTTTTAATGCCGATATCATAAAACGTTCGCGGACGTGTATCAAACCATTTGCACACGAACTGCTGCACCTCTTCGTTCGTTGTGAAGCGCTGTCCACCAAGGGCTTCCTTGAGGGGCCCAAACATAGGGAAGTCGCATGGTGACTGGTCTGGTTTGTAGGGTAGATGTTCTAGTACAGTCCAGTGTATATCGGCCAATTTTCGTTGTGTTATTGCTGCGGTGTGGGGTCTGGCGTTGTCATAAAAAAGCAACACACTTCTAATCGGAATGCCGCGCCTTTTTGACCGATAGACAGCTCGAACTTGGCTAAGAAGATCACAATAATAGGCAGCATTAATGGTTTGACTTTCTTGAAGAAAATCGACCAGCAGAACGCATTTACATTCCCAGAACACTGTGGGCAAGACCTTCTCTGCAGACAACCGCGTCTTCGCTTTCACTGGTGTACCCTCGCCAGGCTTCCGCCACTCCATACTGGCCCTCTTCCATTCAGGAGTGTAATGATGGACTCAAGTCTCATCGCACGTGACGATATTTTCCAAAAAAGCGTTTTCGTTTACGAGAAACTTAATAATAACACGTTGTGCAACTGCGGGGTGTAGCTCTTTCTCGCTCATCATGATTGCTGCTGAGAGTAAGAAGCACGTGGCGCGACAACGTTATTATTGCCTTCCACATGAACCCCCTTCACTGTCCAAAACGTTGAAGATCCCTCACACCACCGACGGGCGCGCAATTTAAAAAGGCTTGTTTATATTTGATCCATCCTCCTAGATTATTATTTGGAGTATTCGTTTATAAGATTATATGAAAGAACAGTTTCTTATGAACAAAATATTAAAATTTTTAATTATTAAATCGTATTTTTTGAATCACTGGAGTTACATTGTTATTTCTTTCTGTCGAAAATAGAAATGTCGAGAAATATTTTTTGTTTATTGGTCACAAAACAATATTTAAAAAAGAAGTTGGGTCTTCGAGAAGACGCTCACACATAAAGAAAACCAAATTTTTTTCGTTTAAACATCTTTTTTACCGAATATCGTGACACCAATGCAAGGTATGAAATGAGAAAACATGATCGTATTTAGTAAGATATTTTTCAGGTAGATGTTTATTTCAGTATCTAGTACTTTAAATTTCAAACTTTCTTCAACACTATATACTTTGTTAGCATGTGTGATTATGATTTCTGAAATATCCGTACCTTTGCATAAAACATAATTAATCAAAAAATATTTTCAACATATATCGAATTTTCATAATGTACCACTTCCTTGCCAATGAGTACCGCTTTTCGATCAAGTACGGTTAGAAGCATATACGAGATCCGTTCAAAAATTATTAGTATCGCGAATTTTATTTTTTCAAAAATTTTTTATTTATTCATGAATATCTATTTTGTCTCCTTCAAAGTAATCCCCATCAGATATTATACACTTGTGCCAACGTTTTTTCCAATCCTCGGAGCACTTCAAAAAATCATTTTTTGTGATCTTGTTCAGCTCCTCCTTCGATGCCGTCTTTATCTCCTCAATCGTAGCGTAGCGTCGTCCTTTCATGTGCCTCTTCAGTTTCGGGAACAAGAAAAAGTCACAGGGGGCCAGGTCTGGGGAATACGGTGGCTGCGGCATCATTAGTGTGTTGTTTTTGGCCAAAAATTCGCGCACAAGCAACGATGTGTGAGCAGGGGCATTGGTACGAATTTCGCGGCGACCCGTCTCATGCCCAAATAATTAATAAAAATTGAATGGCACTAGCCAATCGATATGTTTAGGTCCTCAGCAACTTCTCTAACGGTGATTCGACGATTGGCCAATACTATTTTCTTCACTTCATCAATGTTTTCGTCTGTTGTTGACGTGCTCGGGCGTCCGGCACGCTCTTCGTCGTTCACATCTTCTCGGNCTCTGAGAACATTTTGTACCACCGATAAACGTTGCTTCGGTCCAAGGTAGCTTCACCATATGCCACAGTCAATTTTGAATGATTTTTTGAAGTGTTTCGAGGATTGGAAAAAACGTTGGCACAAGTGTATAATATCTGATGGGGATTACTTTGAAGGAGACAAAATAGATATTCATGAATAAATAAAGAATTTTTGAAAAAACACAAAATTCGCGATACTTTTTGAGCAGATCTCGTATATTTGATAATACGTTTATTGTCCCTTTCCATAAAAATGTTATTTTAATCTTGCAGAATGTTTCTTTAGATGAACCACTTGGATAAATTTTATTATCAATTTTAGATTCGCACACATTTTAACACAAAACATAACGTGTTATACAATAGTAAAGTTATGCAGATAAATGCTAAGAAAATTATATGATCGTTTCTTATACTGGAAGAAATTCTGCAAATCCTTTTTACTGTGGCTTGTCAAAGAGAGGTAATATCGGAATAATGCATTTTATGGCAATTTTTATTGTCCGCTCCCGACCGATGGATCCACTTTGATCTGCTGCAATTGAAATTGAATTAAGTAATTTCACATATTATTTTTCAAGAAGCAACAAAATTCATTACCATCGTCGAAACATTTGGTAAGCATTTCTTGCGCCCTTTTCAATGTGCTCGGGTCAGAGATAACGTCTTTTAAATCTTGCACGACTGCATCTCTTATGTATTCACCATTATCGTCAAGAAGCTGGAACAAATTATATCGCGATTTAATATATGTTGTAAATGAAGAATATAAAAAAGAGAATTTTAATATCTATTTCCCTTTAATCGTTAAAAAGTAATTAATAAATAACTAATAAGTAAATAATAACTAATAAAAAGCAATAATTGATTCCAATATATTATTGTGTTATATGTAAAATAGTTTTTTCATAGTTATCACTAGTTTCTTTTTATAGTTAACTCTTGTTACGTACAATTTATTAATACACTTAAGTCTCTTCTGTCAATTGTGTACATTAAATATAGAAATAAATATACCTTGCCATCCCTGCCCATCGCGCATAGAAGTGCTTCGGCAGATAGTGAGGCTGTAAAGCACGAATAATAAATGTGATTGATAAATTACGAGTTTCGAATTTCGTTTGGATACTGTAATAATGTTGTTTTCTTTATCGTAATCGCGAATCTTTATTATAATCGCGAAATTCTTGAACGTAGCTTCCAAACAAACACAAATGGTTATATGCGATAAGGAAAAATTATTTTTTTTCTAGGAGAAAGGAAGAAACATCTCGAATTTTAATCTAGGTCTTTTCCGAATGTTCTATATATCTAAAGATATTTTTGAGACGTCTTATAATGTCTTAATGTTATATAATTTCATTCATGAAATTATTGTTATAAGTAAGTTATAATTATTGTTTGAAATGAAACCTATTTTCTTTTTTGTGTCATGTTTCTTTTGATGTTCTGAATTTTAATACTCACTCGTAGATGTACCTAATTCTTCACTACATTTCACTAAATTGTCACTGAACTTTCGAAGTCGCACAGGGTCTAGACTATAAGCCATCGTCTGAAAGAATTGATCATATCCAAGTATATAGAAATTATTTGAATTAATAATCAAGTGCAATCGCGATATTTGTCAGTTTCAATCGAATGTTTTATCTGCAAGATGTAGCAAGTTTCACGATTATTATTATTTGTTTCCAACAAAAAACATTTCATTATTGAATGTGGTTAGAAAAAGACTCTCCTATTACATTATTATTTAGTACGTAGATAACATTTATCGTTTCGCGTGTAATATCAAAAAGGTTATTTTAATCTAAGGATCAGAACTATTTCTTTATGATATTTTAATTTTCAATCCACAGACATTTATATGTCTATAAATAATACAAGTTGGATGTGAAATTGATTGATAATTGTTTAGGAATCATTTCTTTTATTTGGTATCGACACACTTTGAGCAAAGTATAATATTAATACATTGGCTATGGATCAAATTTTGCTCAAGGTTTCTAGAATTTTGAACATATATTCGGAGAATAAGAAATCTCGTTTTA